TGCTACTAGCTGCCGAATGTAAATAGATCAAACTAATTCGTCTAGACGCAGATTAAAGATCGTGAAACACGAAGTATTATATTTTAGTTGTACATATATTGAGAGAACGCGTTCCGTTTCTCTCGCTTGATATTTAAGTATACATAATTTGTAAAATCTTGAATTAATTGTAATGCAACGGGAACGAAAAATCTTTTCAAAATTGAGAGAAAATGTATACGATCGTTAGATAGATTTCACCGGGCTATTGACAATCGAGCACCAGGATATTGTCCGATGATCTATGTCTATCGATATTCGACGGCTTTTGGATACAATCAAACGTCAGGCCTTTATCCTTTCCTTTCAGTGTTGAATGCGCTTTGATCGGCAAGGAGACTTTATTGTATATCTGTATTGTATATGTCACGCATACATGTGCTCGCACATATCGTTCCTATGGCTGATACTTTAGTATATATGTAATGTATAATACCTTTTAAAATCATGGTATGCGTTTTTCTATAATGTCATTTGATGTCCTGTTGAAGCCTAATATTCTTTTTTTGCATTTATGTATTTCAAATTCCCGGTGTCCAAGGTTATCTACAAGTATCTGGTGAATTTTACATGTCTTATTATGTATACAAAACTTTTTGACCATACTTTTTATTGACTGGTGAATTCTTGTATATTTTGATGAATATATTAGTGCATATCGACATTGCTAGCAATAAAATATATTGCAGTAAAGCATGTATATGTTCAGTACGTGTAATAAATTGTAAAACGCATACCAGTTCACTTCAATTGTATACTCTACTGCATTTTTATGGACAAATTTCCTTTTAGGCAGTTTTTGTAAAGAAAAAGTTTATTGTAACATTGTTGGTATTTCCATTTAGAATCCTGAGTTGCAGTCCCGTCTTGCCTGCTTCATAATAGTGGACAATACTTTTTCATATTTCGTCATCCTTGTATCCTGCGAATATATGAAGCCAATTCTGAATCTGATAAACTGCGATTTTCTTGATGATATGGACCTGCTCGAAAATAGTCAGAACTATACCGTTTCCCAACATGTTGTGGTAGCACCTCGCAAATACAGTTACAAACGTGCGATGTGTAATCAGTAATGTGCAGCGTGACGATTCGTAATGTGCGATGTGACGATTCGTAATGCTCGAGTATCCAATTGGTTGTTCAGTCGGATTATACAGTAGGATTGAGGGTGGCAGAAGCCATTGCGATCTAAAGACTAATATATCTTAATTGCAGTATATGATGAAGGGTTCAGCTGCCATTGCGATCTAAAGACTAATATATCTTAATTGCAGTATATGATGAAGGGTTTAGCTGCCATTACTTTCACTGTCACGTGATTCCCTTTGCATGTAAATAATGCCTTTTGGAAATTTATCTACCACACATTTTATTTGAATGCAAATTTTTTTGTTCCTTCTTCATGACAACTTATAATTAGGATGTTTCCTGACTACATGACAACTTTGCTTCATTTATGTAGGCGCTCAATTGTATCTTGTTCACCATTTGTAATTATACAGATTTAAATTGAAATTCAATCTATTTTCATTCCTCGAAATAAACATACGGTTCTTTTTCTACATCTTCGCTTTGTGAGGTTTGTTCAGACGAACGCTGCTTGCACGCCAGGGCTTGCAGGCAAGTTCCATGTGTTGCCTTATAGTTGAAAGAAATATAGGAAACCGACATTCATATGTATGAACGTAATTACTAGCTTGCGGTACTTTTTGCTACATCTAGCCGAGAAAAAACCACTTGGCAATGAACTCGTGTCTGTACCGTTTCGTGGCGGGATGTTAAAGCGATTGCACCCTCTGCAGGAGCTTTGCGAACAACGATCGCAACATGTCACAGACCATTAGTATCACCACATCAGCATCCTCGGCTATCTATTGACGATTTCATATCTCTTGACCATGGTCCATATCCTTTTCGTCGTCTACGAAGCCAAAGACGCATTTAGAAACGCTAGAATCATTCGACGGCAATGCCGAGCTGCGTTGTGGCATTACGGCGCCATTAAGTGGCCCTGTGCATTAACTGTGGCAATGTTTCGTATGGTGTACGAACCGATAGACCCGTATTAGAATCAGTCAGCGTGGCTATTTCTCGCAAACATTGAGATGTCCTGAAGTTTTATGCTTTCTGATTCGGTCGATTCAGCAGCCCATGTTTCGAATGTACACTGCCGGTTGCCAATCGCGTTTCGTTCCATCTCAGAAACATTTTGTCATTTCAGCACTCACCCTTGATCGTCCCTTCTTCCCTCGCATACGTCAATTCCCGCATTTGTTGATCCTATTGACGAAGTAAGTGGAATAGAGAGTATCGATTTAAGCTCGTTTGCTTGATACCCCGTGCGACTATGAGTCGCACGGAACGGAATGTAGAGCAAAATGAAGAATAGAATGTGCTGTAAAAACATCCGCCACCGCCCAAACCCTCTTGCGAATCCTAGTCGCACGGAACGGAACCCCGCTCGTCAATCTGACTCGCTTGTCCAACTAGTTAAGTTGTCTCGCTGAGAAGGACTCGCTGCCTTCGTCTTGCGTCAGCCGACTGGGTACTCCTACTCGCTGCGTAGGACCCGCTGCGTTCCACTCTCTGCGCCTCACTTGCCTGGGTTAAACATTGAGAGCACAACGGCGGATGGGACGTGTTGTAAAGACATCCGCCACCGCCCAAACTGCTTGCAAATCACAGTCGCAAGGATGGGACATAGAGAGCAGAGAGGCAGATGGAATGTACGGCACGAACCTACGATTTGGCCACATGGCCGAGGAACGGGACGGGTTAATCATCCCCAACTGAAAGACTACCTGTCCCCAAGTCTATCCCCAACTACACAAAGACATATAGTCAGTTATTTTTGGGTCGTAATTTGTGCTCGTCTTCACAGATGGCAAAACGACAGCGGTACATAGCACCGAGTTCTACGCTAAGAGAGGCTCAAAGAACACAAATAAGCTTATAGGAAAACCACGACCCTGCCTGGGTCCCCGCCGTTTCAAGAGGAGGCGAACGAGCCCATAAAGCCGAGCCTTACATGCAATGTGTCACCTCTAGCCGCAATTGCATTCCTATGAATGTACGCGGACCTACGTAAATGAAACCATCGGAATAAGGTAGGACCGTGATCCGCCTGCGGCATACAAATTGAGGCTCTGACAAGTAGCTAATCATTTCTTCTGCAACTTCAGGGCGATATGTAAAAGTTGACGAGCTGTCCTGCGACTGAGCACACTTTCTGGCAACAAGATGTAAATGGTATTGGTTTTGCATACTAGTGCGTCACCTATGTCGTTGATGTACAGGGGTCAGTGGACAACGCCAGGATCTAGAAGGAGCTCACAAGACAAGAATTAAAGGGAAGTGACAGACTGTTTTGCTCAGCATGACAGTCTTGTGATTCTTTTCCGACGCGCACGTCGCTACAAACGATGACAGTATGCAGCTGCGATCTAATGTTGGGCATATCTGTATCGTGAATGGCAGGATGACTGGATGATCAGTGTGGATACGCCGTCGCTCTCAAGCTGCTGATAAGCCTACGTCATGAAGAGTGCTAGGTTATAAAGGTACGTAAGTGACTATGTTCTTTAAGTATTTTTATATACTCAAGCGCTCCGGGGTCAATGGTATGCAGTGGACTGGCGAATACGTCTACAACCAGCAGATGCTAAGGTAACGAAGCCACTGTTGTTACCGCAGCTGTCTACTAATATCTAACGAATACTCGGCGCATGTAAATATGTATTACAGAGTCACTTATTCGTTGAACGAATTGTCCAGCCTCGAGCGTATATGGATACTGATAGCTCGAGCTTTAACAGACGAAGGCACTACGGTGCGCACTCAGTGAGCTGCAGCAACAACATGACGCGAGGTCCGGATCACGCGTGTCGATGCGAATGCATTTAAGATGTAAAATGAAATTAAACTTATGCCGAGATCAGCTACGTGCTCATATCTTGTCTCAGAACTTTAACCGCATCTCGTGCATGTAAACTTTCATTAAAAATTATTTAATGCTTGTTATGCGAAGTGCGTGATTACATGGTAGGTTAACGTGCCCGGTTTCGCTTTCCTATCTGAGTCCATACCAGCTATATTAGGTGTATCTGCAGTAATCGCTTGATCGGAGTCGAAAAAGTCTTGCACTTCACTCTCCAAATAGTTAGACTCGAAATAGCTGTCATTACCATGAGCAACATGCAATAAATTTTGACTCTGACCCAAGTTTCTGCCGTGCCCTTCAGAATCGCATCTGTCCTTCGCTCCAGTAGTGGCCACACATAGTATCGACTTTCTACATACATCCGACACGTCAGGCCGCAAGTTGCCATCAACCTCGGACTGCTGACGATACGTATTCGAGCTGTCTTTGTCTAGCGGACGAATATCCATCCATAAATCTGAATCCAGTAGATATGTAAGTCGCGATAGGATCGAATGAAGGTAAACAGTAAGCTTTGCAGCACGTACCTAGCTCAACCCTGCATGTCGTCAGTGCTGCACCTTTGACCGAACCTGTATTACGTCAGTGTAGCCCCTTGGCTCGTACTTGTCTTACGTCAGGTCAGCACCTTGGATCGAACTTGTCTCACGTCAGTGCCGTAGTTTAGCTCGTATTTCTTGGTGTTTGTTTCCAAACGCTAAGACGTAACGTTTAGCACTGGCGTGTGGGGGAGCCTTTATATATACATATTCATATGTAGATCTGTATGTATATTAATATCATATATTTATATTGATCGCAAGACGCAAGGCTATGTACCGCTGTCGTTTTGCCATCTGTGAAGACGAGCACAAATTACGACCCAAAAATAACTGATTATATGTCTTTGTGTAGTTGGGGATAGACTTGGGGACAGGTAGTCTTTCAGTTGGGGATGTTTAATTCCTCCCCCGAGGAACCAACATTCAGTCCCTCACTTTCCATTTTCCTCTTCCCACGACAACAACACCACCTCGACATGCGCGTCCACTATCTCGCCTTTCTGGCATCGTCTGCTCTTTCGGCTCGTGTTGACGGTGTTATGGAACCCGGCGCCCCGAATGAAACAGCGCTTTACTTCCCGGCGGCCGTTCGCCCATCGATTGCCAGCGACGACGATGTCACTGCCACAAGGTCGCCAACACGTGTTGGTCCACCAAATGTCGAAGAAAGGGGCCTTTCCGGTACAATTGTTTCGTCCGCGTTATCGAAGTTGGGTAGTCGAGGCAAGAGCATGGTGCTGGCAAGGGCTCAAGATAAGTTCTACAACTTGCAAAAAAATTCGATAAGGGACAACGACGTCGAGCACAGTCTTCAAAATGCACTTAAAACCAAAGCGTGGGATGATCTGTATGACCGGTACAAATTGTCTGGACATTTGATGATTGACGATCCCACCAAGCACTATGGAGATGAAATAATAGCACGTGTGCTCTCTCAGGCGGTGAAGGCCGACTCAAGAAACCCTGCGAAGTTTGCAAAGGCTACGACTCTGACGGAGAAGTTGGCGTTGGACCAGCTCACAAGGTGGCAAACGAGGAAAAAAACACTTGATGACGTGTTTGACACACTCAGGCTGAACCATCTTGACTTTACACCCGACGCTCTGGCACACATTGCCTTGCTGAAAAAAAATCTTGAGGTCGTTGTGTTTTCCCGGATGATGCGTAGTCGAAAGATGAACGTTCTGGAAAACTATAGCAAGCTCACCGCGCCCGAAAACAGCGAGGTAGCCTATCTACGTGCCCTTATGAAAGGCTTTGGTGGAGAAAAAAAATTCTTCAAGCTGCTACGCCAGGCGAATGAGGACAAAGCTCTAGTTGACATGACAGACGATCTGGAAGATGTGTTCCTGAAAATGAGTTTGGCGGATAACACAAACCCCGTGGCTGCTTTTCAAATACTACGGACTGGCCTACCAAAAGAAGCACTACTGAATGAGAGAATCATGGACAAATTGACGACATATGTGAAGACCTACAACGAAAACAAACCTGCGGCGCGGCAGGTCACAGTACTCGACGTATTGGATACGAATCTTGGTGGAGAGCGTGGGCTTCTTAAATCACTCGTGAATAAGAACCTACACGAAGACACGATTTATAGTTTACGAACGCCAACTTTACGAGAAATGGTATCTCGACGGTGAAAATCCCGAGGAAGGGTTGCTACGACATACACAGCATCTTAGCCACGGGGGTCAAGCTAGCATCAAGCGCAGGTACAAAGCGTTTTATGACCAACAACCCAAGATTAAGTGATCTTGGTGTACTTTTGCGACGGTTAGATTGTGCGGTACATTGTAGATGCTGCAATCCTTATGAGTAAGAATAATATGTTGGCTTTACAAGACATTATTTGACCTTATAGTGCTTTTTCTGTTGCCTCAGTTAGCTCGTGTATGAACTTGTCCCATCTCACTTCACGACCCGATGGCGAGAAAACACTCGCTACTGATTCGCAAACTTAGGCAGCAGTCTTTTTGGTTGTCGCGATTTTTTCATTCTTGTAATGAAATAGCAAACGTATCGTGGCCCCTTTTAAGTTCTAATCATAAGGAGTGGCCAATAGCTGTGAGCATAAGAGGTGTCGAGCTTTATCTCACGATTTTATGAGTTAACCTTGTTGACTTAAGTTTGTAAAAAAACACCTTTTGGCTGCTTGTTCAGTTGAAACTACGGTGTTGGCAAGTTGACGTCAACGCTACAAAAGCAGACCAACTGATACCTAACTTTTGACAGCGCTCGTTATATATTGCTCTTATTAGACTATCACTGGTCCACCTTATGGTTTACGCTGACACGTCTGATAAATCCGGAATGCACCTTTCCACTTGCAATTTCTTTTAAAATCTGAAACACATGGCTGTTCTAATGATGGAAGCGCTATCATGAAGCTATGCCCGCTTAGATCGTTCAGATGATTCTGCTGAGACCATCATACTGCCTAACGATGCTCCCATCTAAACCGCATAGTACCGCCAAAGGCGAAACTTATGCTTACCATCACCGTACCATTCCATATATCGCTCGTCGCCTTACAGAAGTGATGGTGAAAGATTTTTGTGAATTTTGCTAGTTGGTAGATAAACTTCTGTAGTGAGGACATTAGTCTTGTTCTCGATTCCCACTACTTGACTATTGAGTCTGCTAGAAAAAAATGTCTAAGCAGTGATCGAAGTTTGACCGCCACGGTTAAGCCTTGAGACATCGAATAATTATTGCAACCTCTCAGGCTTCCGAGCTCGACAAAGTTCTACGTCTTCACTTGACAGTATGTACTGACTTCTATTGAAAAGGCACTATCCGTCGCAAAGCTTTCTTACATCTATCGATTATGCATTATCCTAGCCGATCGTTGCGCCTTTGAATCCACCCGTTACCATGTCGTAATTTCTCTCGCAAATACACCCACATTTTGCTTCGTTCGGCAAGCCCAAAGACATTGTTGCCCAGAAGTGATTTAAGTTTGTCAGGGAAAGTAAAGCTAGCTTAGGTAACGGATTTGATGCGCTTGGCGCTCTCTTTATCATTCATAAGAAAGCCTGCTGCAAGCACGTTCTCCGCTATAAACCGGACACTTTAGATACTTTGATGTGCAAACTAAGTTAGAGAAGGAGCACACAGTCAGCCCTTCATCAATAGCCATAACAATATAAGCATTTACCGCAGAACGGTTCTCATAGCAGCACGTAGGAAATTGTGTACTTTCACAGTACCTCGCGTTGATCACCCACAATAAAAATCACGTTCACTATATTGAAGTAGAGGCACTGACCGAGTACTATATCTTTGCACCACTGAATCGACGAAACCAAAATTCTACCTCCAAATTATTCATCTGTCTGTATTGCCCAACGTTTATTGTGCTACATCGGACATACCAGCAAGATGTGCGACAAAAATAACGAAATGCATCCAGACCCAAGCACCAACGGAACGTCAGCAACAAATAACGGTCGATTTTGCGTTAAACATTTTAATGGTGGTTGATAAGCAACTTATTCATCGCTCAGAAATTTATCAGGCTAAATGTGACAGCCAAATTCTTCGTGTCGTCTCGACGGATACATGCATACAGTAGCAATTGACTACATTGGTAATGGGTCATCTAAACGGTTGCGATAACGGCAGTATTGTGCAACATATACATACAAAGATTAATGGATCGGGTACGCCTGTTGTGGTAGATAAAACGTCAGCGGCGGTACCTTACCGGTCATAGAGAGAGATCCTACCTCAAGGAAATGAAGGGAAACCTCTATAGTACGTAAATAGCAGTCATTATGTGGTAATCGTAAGCATTCATCTTTAGATCTTCAAATTAGCCAGTAGGACCGTTGTGGTGCGTACTAACACGAGGTTTATCTCCACCAATAGCATCGTGGTACATTCAGGGTCCCTTTTATTCAGTATGCGACACATGCCTTGCCAAAGCTTCTTGTTATAGTATGAGTGGAGCGCCTTCCGTGGCGTGTACGCATGGGTAGTAGTTACCACTAAAGTGCACGAATCGCGGTGACCTACAATAGAACTAAAAGATCTACGAGTTTATTGACTCAAAAATTCATATTTAGAATTTCCCGTTTGACGCTTTGTTCCTGTACAATATTCCACGTGAAGTTTACGTGTATGTGCAAACTCTTTACTTCGTGTAAATTGATTGTACTTGATCGAAAAATACAATAAATACCAAGCCAGTTAACAATACGCAAAATTATACACCCTCTATAGATTCAAAAGCCACATTCATTTTTGGCAATATAGACTATACTGTCACGTGGCAAACGATTGCTGTACCACGTCCTCTACCTTTTGTTGGCCACACATCAGCACTTGTGATTTTGCGCACATCATATCTAAAGCGACGACGAGAAGCAGCAAACGAGCAGTTCCTTCTAAAAAAGGTGTCACAGTTACAATAGCGACATAATTCAAGCTGTAATTAAGTACAACCGACATTGGAACCGGCTAATTGTGTGCGTCTCAAGTTATAAGCGACGTTACAAATCTGTGTGCATACAAAATGACTGTTCGTTTGTGGTGCAGTCTGCCTTTTCACAAACATTTGTCCCTTCAACTAATTTTATTTTGCACCCCGGTCAAGTTTTATGGTCATCCAAAGCTTCTCGTAGGTATGCAACTGCAAAAATTGCTGTAAACACTGCAGTTTAAGATACGGACATGACCTTTGGCAGAAAATTGAACCAGTGATGAATAAATGAAGTTTAAGAGCAAAGAAGTTTTTGCCTCTTATATGAACTGGGTTTTTGCGCTAAAAATGGTAAAACCTCGAGATACTCGGCAGTGATATTATAAAACACGTCCCTATTTTACGTAACATGGTTGAGCTGAATGATCAAGGTCAAAAAAAGAAGCTCAAATCGTAGATGATGGATCGGTGCGATTGTGTGTCATTTTCCACAAAAGTCTGCAAGCTTATAAGCCATACAGCGAGCGCGTGATTGTCGTTGATGACACCTTTCTAAAGCTTTCCGTTGGTGAGGTACATCAGGTGGCTTGCTTTTGCAATGGTAAACACGAGATCCAAATTGTTAGAGTCAGTGTTATATCGGTGGAGAATGAAGATAATTGGACCGGTATTTGTAATTTTTGTCTCCCACCTCCATACAACTCAATCACCCGTGATATCGGATAGGGAAAAGGAACATAGGAAATCATTGCAGACAACTGTACACGATGTCCCTTATTTTTTTGCTTTTGGTGTCTGATAGAACAATACCACGATATTTTAGGCTGAAGGAGTAAAATAATTTGGCGTGGATGATGGCTCGCTCACGGACAAACGTTGCGTACGAGAAGACAGAAGCGGTCATCGCCAGATTGTATAAAAGTACGCTGGCGTAGCTTCAAGATGTTGGCCATGTAGTATGGTCAACCGTTTACTACCAATGTAAAGATACAACACCTTGACGTGAAATAACGTGGAAGATGTAAACAGCGCGTTCAATTAAATTCGAAGTTTTTAATCATCGACTGCTTGATGGAGATCGAGCGTTAGGTGGCGAAAACGTGAGCTAAAAGTTTAGCAAAGTGAAAAGGGTAGGAGTTTTAACTCCATTTGCAGCTCGCACGAGAGACAATGGGCTGGCCGCTGCGGCATGGGATGAAATTGATGTAAGCTTTACCTCATACTTCGTTCTTCTAATCCAGTCGGAAGGGGGAGTTAATCCCGTGAAGTTTTCAGTTCGATTGGTGACAAGGTTGTTCGATGCGTGTGTAGGTACTACGAGGTTGTTGGCTCTCCTTGCGTTCCTGCTCTACTTGCGCTTCGGCAATTTGAAAATCTGCCCATAATGATAGCGTATTTTCATGACTCGTGTAAACTTAAGACGTTGAAGCAGACTCTTCTGAGGGATCAAAAGAAAAGAGATTGCCGCAAGTGCTGACAGGTTCCCTGACAAGATGTGTATGCACCGCCCCATGCATTTAGAGAAAGAGAGGGCATCGAAAACATAAGCGGACCCAGTTTCAACTAGCGCATGAAGAAATGGATAATCGCTTGACCAGAAGATGTGTAATGTGCAAACAATTCGGTCACAATCGTTAGGCCTGTCCAAGCGTAGCCGCCTGATTAAATCCTACGTCATCGCTATTAGATTTTGTATACTCATCAGAGTTTTTTTTATTAAAGACAGAGTTTTCATACACAGAAATGAAATGTATATTTGATGGACACATGGAAGTGCGCTATCGTGACTTATCTAACTACGTGCCTTTACTGAATTGTTTTTGCTAAACCTTTCAGTACGAAATAAAATGTTGTATAATTTTTGCCCATAAAAATATACTTAAAATATTTGCATTTTTCGACCTTGTGATATATTGTTTTATTTGTTGATTATCTTGGTATATAATTCATATAATTCCTATATATATATGCAATTGATGATGCTGATAGATGTATTGAATTAATCACGTCTCAATCTTCGTAGACGCTTGAGTCAAAATACGCTGATTGAAAGATAAGTTGAATGTAGTAAAATATTATTTAAACCGATATTGTAATAGCTGTTCAGGAGTACATGTGGATGATAGTTTTTAAAAAAAATAATTGGCATGATTTAAGTCGTTACAAACTACCATGTCTTGTTTACACTAATCTGTAGTTCATATTAACGAACATGAA